CAAATGCCTATTGAAGATATTTAAGTTATTCTGCAAAGAAAAGCTGTATTATCCTAGAAAGCTAAGCCCAGGTGTACTCCTTAAACTTATCTCCTGAAGCTATCAATAAAATTTCTATTTGATTAGCAAAACCAAGTAGAATCTAAAGTACTATAAAACCACTTTTCATATACTTACAAGCTTGCTAACTAGTTTGGTTTTACGTTTTCCTCATTTCATAGTTATCATTCAGTTTAGGTAGTCTTCCACATCTGTCACAGACATCTTTTCATTAAAATCCTTTCTTAGGATTTTTTCCTGCTGAAGCTAAGTTTCAGCAACAAAGTGTAAACAATGGTTATCTGCTGCTGTGGAATGCAACAGGTGGATCCGTGATTGGTCTCCTGTGGATGTTTGGATTCACTGACCACTCACAGCAGAGCTGGCTCTCGCTCTCGGTCTGAGCCAGCTGCCTTTGTTATTCATTGCTTTGCTATTCTTAGCTTAGCTAGCCTTCTGAGAACTTTCCTTCTATTCATTTTAGTATAGTTATAATGTAATATATATATCATAAAATAATAAATCAAGCCTTCTGATCATGAGGTCAACATTCTCGTCCCTCTCTCACCCTGAAAACCCGTGTGACCACGGTCACACACATCCACTGGGCATGCACAGGAATACTTTGTTTTTACTCTGAAACAGACCAAAATGGCACAGAAATACATGCTGAATAGTTTATTAACACTTTTTTTTGGCCATTAAGGAAGAATAATTTATTTTCTAACAAGTACTTGATTTTCAGGTGGTAAGCTGGAGTCCTAAATCTTGGTCTTAGCTATTCTGAAAATCTGTATCTCTGTAGAACTCACCAGGTGTCACTGGGTATTGCATAACCCAGGTCAATCCAGCTCAACAGTGAGATCAAAATATTCACATCTGCACTGGCTTTTTTTTGAGGGACAAAAGCTGTACTGATTCATGCTGTGTCTCATTGTGCTGCAGACTGAAGCGCAGAGAGTGAGCTTGAAAAAACTTTCTTGCTCTTATTCATGACCTCCTTAATTTTTTTTCCTGTTCCACTGTGGTATTCCTGCTAAGTTATGGTATTTTCCAGAAGTTTGGGGAATCAGTGATGAGAGGGATTATTTCTGACTTTATTGTATGTAATTTTTTGTGTGTTAGCATTAATTTGGCCAAGGGATATAAGGAAGAAAAAAGCAATAACGAATGTATTGTATGTGAAGAAATGATGATGATACATGAAGAAAGTCACTTAAGAAATTGACACAGAGTTGACCTTCAAAGCTGACAAATGTATCCCAAGTACTTCGTTGGAACATATTTCTGGTGTAGAGCTCACTGCCTGCCCTTCAAAATCTGAAGGTGATGAACAGGACACAGAGTTGTTTCTGCAATTTAGAAAGACAACAATGTCTTTCAGTAACATCCCCATCCTTAGATCTCATTAATCCTGTTAATGCAAATAGGCCATTTATAAATTTTGTGCTAATATTTATAAAGTGTAATGAATGAGCAAGGGCAATGGTAGTTTGGAAGATGCTGAAATAATTGGAAGGATTCTATGCACATACTTCATACATACATGCTGTATTTTTCAACTACATTCAGTCTGCTGTGATTATCATTAAAGTCTAAGTTAACTGACATTAGTGTTTCATCTCTGCAGTTACTGGCCAGCAGACAAGGGATAAGTTTTGGTGAAGTGCAGTAAGAATGTTTAAATAAATGGTTTGCAAGCCTGAATCTCTTTCCTAAGTGACATATTTAAAGTGCTGCTATGTATCCACTGGAGAGAAGGCACATCAGGGAATTCTGCTATAGCTGTACAAATTCATTTATCCTTGCATTTGAATTGACCTGCTTCCAAAGCCTTCTTGATAACATCCCCTACTTTCAGCTTGTGTTTATCTTCTAGGAATAGAAGATCTGTTGCATAAATTGTTTGCTGCAGACACTGAGAACCTCTGTCTGTGTTTATGCATTATGCACCTAGATGAACTCATAGTCTCAAAATGTTAAAAAATATTTTTTAATGCTAAGTATTATTTAGAAATATAATACTCAGCCTGTGTCGAAATGTTGTTGATTATAGCCATGGAATATTTAGCTTCACAGAAAGAACAAAAAATGCTTACAGTATAGTTTTAATGAATTCTTATACCCTTTTTTCCCCAGATCATTTTAATTCTCTTTTAGGTAAGCATTTAATTGGAAGTTACTGTTATTACAAGCATATAATTTGTTATGAAATTAAATTGCTAATAATAAATATCTCATCTTCCATAGAAACTATAACAATGCTGTTCTGCTCTTTTGTGACGCTATTGCCTGAAAAAAATGCCGAAAGCTTACGATATTACATTAAATAGAAGACGCACAGGAAGAGTTACAAAATTTGGGGGAAAATTCATCCAAAGCTGTCCTGGTTTAACAGGGTGTTGGAACTGTGTATCTGAAAGAGAGTTTGAATATGTAACAGCGGAGAGCTTCCTGTACTCAGTGACCTTTGTTTTGTATGAGTCTTACATGACTACTGTGCATAAAGAGAAGTACAGTAAAAGCAAAATCTACCCCAAACCAGCAGAGGTTTGTAGAAGAGAAAGATAACTCCATTTCCATGAGCATTTCCAGGACGTGGAAAGGACATGAAATCATCTCATCAGGCTAACCTTTGGAAATATGTTTTAAGGAGGTCAAGAAGTTACTGAAAGCTGATAATAATTTACTATAATAAGCTTGAATAGTCCAGTGTAAGAATATTAGAAGAGCATTTTGGCTGTCAAGTATTGCCACAGACCACTGACTATTTTTTATTCCATATTTCATCAAAGTTGTATTTATGAGTGAAATTGTATATTCAAAAAAGGATTAATCCTTATAAGCCTGGGTTGTTTTTTTTCCATATACTTTTTCCCAGATATGAAAATATACCCTATAAAATGCAAATAAAAGTGTCCTTTTTCCACCATAAAAATCTGGGGACAAAGAATATCTAAAAATATGTTGAAAAATGAAAAATTGGAGTTTTCTTACATACCTTTTCCCCCTTCCCATCTCTTATTTAATTTCATTTATTTCAGAGGAACTGATCACAAAATGATACCTTCTTCCATTTAGAGATAGATATTGGATAATTAATATCCATTTGCAATAATTATTTAGTAATGTAATTTAATAGAGATTAATATTCTGTAGTGAGCTAAATAATCCCAGTTGCTATTTGGATGGAGAATTCACAGTGAGGACCCAAGTCAAAAATGCTCAAAACCTCTTAGGGGAACAAGCGAATCAGGTCTAGTGATATGTCTGAAATAAAAATGTTTGAAGGTGTCTTTACTTCTGGGTAATTTACTGTTTTATTCAGCTATTCCTCTGTATTTGCATGGGATAAAATACAGGTAACTTCAACCAGGGAAGAATAAGCATTAAAAAAAATTTGGAAAATAAAAAAAATGTTGTTACTGTTCTGAAAATTTTATTAATTAATAAGAACAGAGTTATCTACAGCTTCAAACTGTTTTGTATGCTGGTAAATGTGACTGAGCTTTTTTGCATACACATAAACAGCATTACAGTATAGCTATTGCTTTAAAAATATAAATCTGTGTTATCTTTTTTTTAAGATGCATTTGATCACTTGCATTCAAAGCAGAGTTTATTTTGAATGGATTAAGAATGATGTAAAATATATCCCATATTAACATTTTACTTCTGTAGAATTATGCCTACTTTTCTAAAAGGGAAGGCAGCTACACTGTTTAAAGCACTCCTTTTTTTTTTTTTTTTTTTTTTTTTTTTTTCTGAATAGAGATGATCCCAAACCTATATTTTTGTGCTCATCCTTTGAACTGTGCTGCACCTTTCCCTGTGGGATGAGAGTCTGGCCAGGGAAGTGCCATCACTCAGGGCAGTGATCCACAGCAGCCCCGTGTCAGTTGTGATGCAGCTCCAGCATTGTGGACTGTGGAGTCCCCTGTGCCCTCTGTGAATGGGGCCACCAGTTTGGGTCTCCCTCCTCTGATCAATCATTCTTCTCCCTGAAATTACTTCAGCTTAATGTCTTTGAAACAGTGGCCTCTCTAAATTTGCTCGGTATTTAATGAAAGATTTAAAAATTAGTAAGAGGTGAATGAAAATGTGACCATTACATAAGCCTTGTTTCTTTAGGAAACTAGCAAAACTTCCTAGACTACAGATGAAATGTTTTTGTGAGGTTATAATGTAAAATTTATTTCAGATAGACTGTCAAGAATTATTTAATTGATGTTTTTGTTTGTTGTTTTTATTTGGGGTTTTTTTCATGAGCAAGTCTTGCACAATTGGTCATATGTCTTACTGTGCATTTCCCATACACATCTATCAAGTTTACCTCATAGTATGTCTTACAAAAATTTCCTAAAACTATATTTAGTGGATTCCAGGAAAAGCAAATAACTTTGAATACCACAGTGTTCAATAAAGAAGAGACTGGGGGGCAATGGTCTGTTTGCTGACAACCCTTTCAAACTGCTATGGTGACTGGTAATTCAAACCCTGATGATTTAGCTTTTTCTGAAAGGAATACTTCTTGCAGTGATAAAATAGTACTGGAAATTTTGATTAGGAAACTCTAGGATATTCCCAGAAGTGCAGCTTTGCAGAGATGCTGAGCCAAATGTTATGGTAATTTAAGAAAATGCTTACTAAATAATTGGTACTGCAGAGAATGTAAATCATTGAGGAATTTGTCCTGTTATGATGTCCTCAGCATAGAGCAAGAGCTTATGTGAAGGTGCATATCTGAGTTATTTCAGAACTGTTTCTTTTAACTAATTCTTGCTATTTATTTTATGTATGTTAAGAAATTATATTTTGTAGTATTTTGCATAAATTCTGTATATTCTACATAATAAGTTCCAGATTCCTGATCCAATATGGGGACATCACTCTTTTCATTGTTTATTGTATAAATATGAAACTGGATTAACAGCATTTCATTTTCTTTTTATCTGTGTAAGTCTCAGACAGTTTGGACCTTGGATGCTGTGAGTGTTAGACCTGGAGGTTCCCCAAGGCAGAAACTCCTAAAGGACTCCTTAGCAGCAAAAGAACTTCAGACCATGGAAAAACACCTAGCTGGTATGTATGGGATCAAGGAACCATAAAATGCCTGGAAGTACTCACCCAGCTTGCTCTGCCAATATTTCAGATGAAGGAAAAAATTATCTAACTCACATGCTGATGAAAACATATGAAAACTTTATTTTTTAATTGAAGAAAACACAGTTAGTGTTTTATTTGTAGATGTAATGAACTTCACTGTAATCACAGTAAGGACACTGCTTAAACAGTAATTAAACCATGTTAAATATACTGTGGTCTGAAAGCATAATAATGCACCTTTTTTTTGTTTTCATGTTTCACCCAGACTTATGCAATAAGGAGGTACTGATGTTTTACTTACTTTTAAATAGTCCTTAAAGGCAGGCTGCAGTGGATCTTTAACTGGAGAACAGATTGCTTTGCAGGAAAAACTCGCCTTGTTCATGACAATTCAGGCTGAGTGAAATCTGTTAGTTTGTGTGTCTTGGAACATCTGCAATGTCTTTGATGGGGTAACCATTGCTGAAAAGTAAAAAAAAAGTGTGGGGTTATTGGTAAAGAGATGTTTCAGAGCTTTATAAAAATTAATGAGGAATATTCTAAAATTTAGCTTGCAATTTGTTCTTCTTTGTAACCAAGGTTTTTTATCTTCAGCTTTTATTAAAAGGTATGACATAGACCTATTTGTGGTAGTCCTACATTATGCATGCTATTTGTTATATGGTGAAAGCTTCATAGGCTAATTCTATGAAAAGTAATTCTTCACCAGATCGTAAAGAATGTATATGTAAAATGAAGGTAGAAATGAAATTTATTTGATCATTCTTCTAAGTTATTTAGAGAATGAGGCAGAGAATGCTTTTGGTGTGATATTTTAAAATACTTTGGATATTTATCTTGCCAATAACAATGGTGAGAAAGCTGTATCCTCTTTAGAAAGGGGGTGTTGCAGTTGAGGTCAAGGCAGATGACAAAGCTGTAAGCACACTGAGGGAAGCTTTTTAGGAACAGGTTTTGCTCATAATGGAGCACAAACTGCAAATTGCAATATATGCAAATGAAGCCTTTTTAGGTGGGTTTTGTGTCAGACAGTAGAGATGCTGTAATTCAATTTTTTTTATAGGTTCATAAAGCTAACAGCTACGAGAGCTGCAGCTACTGCCAAACTAGATTTAAAAATCTATGAACCCTCTCTCTATACTCTAAACTCTCCCAGGAACATCTAGTGGGATTCAGGAGAGCAGCAAAAACAGTTTCTGTAGCATAGCAGGGACCTGTGTACCCCAAGGGCCCTGCTACAAGGTACCACTTGTTTTCCCTTATGTTGTCACTCAGGAGGAGTTTGGTGAAGATCTCCCTACTTTGATTTATGTCCTAACAGGTCTCACTTCCATGGTCATACAAGCTGTTCTTGCATGTATTATGCTGTGGAAAATGCAGTCCCTTGGCAAAGCTGACAGTAGTAACTACAATATTCAACAGAATATGCAATTTTAAATACTTAATTGACTGTAAAGTAACTAGGTACCTTTATTTAATCTCGGCGATTCCTTCTGCAGTGGTGTGACCCACAAGATTTTCTCTCTCACATCAGTGCTGTTCCTGTCATTTGACTTTTGGCCTGATATTTCAGTAGAGCTGTTGTTACATGAGGTTCAGCCGCTCTACTACTCAGTAATTTTTGTCTGACTGAGAACTTCACATTAAAACAGCCCAATTATTAAACATTGGACTATTGTATTCCAAATAATTCATGTCCTATTATAACACCGATGGTGCTTGAGACAATTACTCCCCTCAAAGACAAGAATAACGTAATTTCCGTGAGTAATCAGTTCAGAGTACCTCAGATAATAATGCTGTGGTTTTGCTTAGCCTCATTTATCTTATACATTTGCAAAAGTTCACGTGTCTGTAATATCAGCAAGTCTCTTGTTTCAGTTCTCTTAGCAAGTGCAATGGAACCTATTAATTCCACCAAATGGCTGCCTATCTAGGCAGTAATTTAGATGCCTGAGCTATGACTTGGATTACCTGTGTAATGATGAAATATGGCCCCCTGTCTCACATGCACCTTCTTAGGGGGCCTGGCCTTCCCTTATGGACAATGTGCTGGATAAAAATCACTCCTAACATAAGGCATAATTTGGTGTCTGTGCCTAAATTAGGAGCTAGCACCAATTGCCAGCAACTGCCTCAGTACCTTGACATTTGAAAGCAGCAGTTTTACAAAATCAGATACTGGCACAGTTTTCCTTCTCTACATATGGCTCATATATTTTTTTGTCTAAAATCCAGACTCTTATGTTATTATGGCTGCTTTATATCACAAGCAAATGGAGATTATTATTTTCTTGGTAGTTTATTCCAGCATCTTGCCAATTTGGTGTGTTGCACTGATTTTGTGGTCTTCGTATACTTCTGGAAAATATTTTATCACAAGAAGAACTGTTAAAAAAATAAACAGTTTATAAGTGCATATGAATCATATCCTTATTCTGTATATTTTTTTATTTGAAAGCAAGATGCTTTTGTGTGGCTCTGTTGCATTTTATTTTCCTTTAAATGACCATAACAAGGATTTTTAAAAATACTAAGTCATAATTCAATTGTGTTATTTAATATGGATCAGATAATACTGCAAAGCTGGGAATGTATGACTTGTTTTTTCTTTCTGGCTGAAAAGCTTATATTAAAGCAAAATCAAACAGAACATGTGTAAATAAAACTGAGTAATTATGCTATGGAAACATGTTAATTATGTATAGAGAAATTATTATAATTGGTTTATCGGTAGGCTTGATTGCTATATGAAATTAAGGAAACATGAGCCAGCATATAATATTTATTTAACTCTATTAAATCATTCAATATTCATACTATTTTTTAGCATACTGAATTCACTCTGCAGGCAAGCTGGACGTCTGTAATTTTGCAAAGAAATAGACTAGGCTGGTTCTTTGCAAGACCATATTCTTCATTTGGTTTAAATCAGTAGCCCACAGTATCATTTATTGGCCCCTGATTTTTTGCCAGGCATCTTACACATTCTGCACCAGAAGACGAGCAGGGAGCACGTTAAGGGAGCTGCTTCTTCCCCCTCTAAGATCAGCTCAGTTGGTCAGATGTTGGTGCTAGTAACACAGAGGTCATCGTTAAGGTTTGATCCTCACATGGGCCAAATGGGAGAGTTTGACTTGATAATCCTTGTGGTTCCCTTGCAATTGAGAAGATTCTGTGATTCACTACTCCACAGTCAGGAGACCCCACCTGAGTGCTGCATTCAGCTCTGGGGCCCCCAAGGTAAAAAGGATGTGGACCTGTTTGAGCAGGTCCAGAGGAGGCCATGAAGATGCTCAGGGGGCTGGAGCATCTCTCACAGCCTGAGAGATGCTGTTGTTTGGCCTGGAGAAGTGAAGGCTACAGGGAGACCTAATTGTGGCCTTCTAGTACCTAAAGGGGCCTGTAAGAGAGCTGGAGAGGCACTTTTTATATGGGTATGTAGTGATAGGACAAGGAATAAAGGCTTTAAACTAAAAGAGGAGAGATTTAGATTAAATGTTGAGAAGAAATTCTTGGTTGTGTGGGTGGTGAAGCACTGGACCAGGTTGCCCAGAGAAGCTGTGGTTGTCTAGTACCCAGCAGTGCTCAAGGCCAGGTGGGAGCTCTGAGCAACATGATTTAGTAGGAGGCATTCCTGCATATAACCAATGGGTTTGGAACCAGGTGATCTTTAAGGTTTCTTCCAGCCCAAACCATTCTCTGATTCTGTGAAGTTGCAAAGTGAAAGCATAATCAAAGAGTAGTTCAAGATGTAATAATTTCAAAACAGAAAGAATTAATTTTAAGCGGTCAATTATAAATGTTCTTAACTGTGTGCTAGAAATATTGACTACGTTTTGAAATTTGCTAACAGTAGAATATTTAATCTTTAAAAACTTGAGAGACACTTTTATCTGAGGCTTTCACAACTATTCAGTTTTATTAGTTTTTCTAGTAATAGCATTTGAATTGTGTGAAGGTTGTATTAGACTAGTAACATGAAATTGGCATGGCTTATTTCCTGTTTCCAAGATCTTATAAAATATGTTGATGTTAAAGGAAGCACATCTTTAATTATTTAACATACAACATTCCTTTTATACCTACTGGTAAACACAAGTGGAAAAAAAATCTCATTTTCCAATATGCAGTTCAGAATCTGTTTCTTTTAGGACATTTAGGACCTGAAATAATTGTTGTAAAATAAAAAAACGAAATGCTTATTTTTGACAAGTTGACTTAATGGGTGTTTAAATCGGTAGAGCCTTGCTACTTTACAGCTTCTGAGACTGTGACTTGTTAATGGGAAATGGCATTCCTATTTTAAAGATAATCAGCTGTCTTTATGAAAATCAAGTACATGCCAGTGAAAGTGAAAATTCATAACAGTAATGTAAGATAAAATAAACTTGATTAAACTGTTTCTTAAGCTTTACATTTGTACTTGCAAGGACTTTCAATATGCTATCAATGCTAACCTAAATTCCAGCTACCCTAGCCTGACTTTGATGGCTGTATTCTGATTTAATTCATTAGAAGCATTAATGTGATTGAAATTATTTCAGGAAACAATTTTCATTCACTGTCCTTAACCTGTTGTGGTTTTGAAAGAGATCTTATTTCTTATGGCTGTGTGCAAGGCAGGGGTTGGACCACCCAATGGCTGTCACCTTTTCTCCTTGGGCTCTGGACATCATGACCCCATCACCTGCTGCGGCGCTGACAGCAGGCCAGAGCATGAGATTCAGGTTCAAACAGGATCACAAATCCAGACATGCCAGAGTTCAATTGTTACTTCCCTCAGAGTTTTGGTTGGGCAGTAGACAGCAGGGCTAGAAGAAGAACTCTTGCCTTGAGCCAGTTTTGGATAGCAGTTGAGGATGGCAGGTTTACATCACTGCTCTATCTTGGTTTGATACTAATCTTGATTTTGCAGTAACTGTGCAAAAGCCACAGAGACATAATTTTGATGACACAAGAGGAATTTTTATAGGTTGTGTTGATATTCAATAAAGAGGTAATATTTCATTGCTGCAGGGTAGCTATGTTTGCAGTGAATCAAATGTAAATAAACTTTAGGCAAATGCTTGCCAAACATTTGCACTGTTAATTCTGATGTTTTTATTTTAAGCATGAATAGATTTTCTCTGCACAGGTTCAGGTTTTCAGTGACATAGGAGAAAATCAATGAGGGTTTTAAACCAGAGAGAAACAGACAGTGAGTTTCTTTCTTTTCCATTTGTTCATGTGTGTGTGCACAGACATTGAGAAGGACCTCGCACTGTGGGAAGAGGCAAGGCTCTCAAGAAGCCCTGGTGTCCAGCATCCCATTGTAGTTACCTCTGACCACCAAGGCGCTCTTCAAGCTGCACAGGGCCCAGCCCCAAGGCCTCAGGTGCCAGCTCCAACAGGGAAGAACGTTCAGCTCCAAGGAAGCAAATCGCCGCCGCTGCCCACCAACAGCAGAACACAGGTCTCCAGTGTCACAAGCAGCAGTGCACAAACCAAGAGGCCAGCAGCTCCAGGGAGCAGACCTATGACCCCAAATAGCTTGTTGTCACGGCCTCTTACCCCTAGCAACCAAGGAAATAGGGAAGGCATTATTAGCATTCAAAGAAGCAGATCTTTGTCATCCAAGAGCCAAATGGGGAGGACCCTCAGTGCTGCTTCAGGGCTTTCTGTGCAAGTGAGTGGAGATGTTGTTGGAACTGTCACTACTCAGAGAAACAGTTTATCAGAAGTAAGATTTTCAATTTAATGTTTTTGCTATGTTTAATAATGCCAAGACTTGATTGCATTTTATGTTCAAGTAACATCAGTATACCTAATGTAACCTACTGTGCTGAAAAGAACTTGAAATAGAATGATCAGAAAATTAGCAAGGAAATACTGCTCAGCTTTGAGAGGTACTCATTAGAGAATGTCAGTATTATTACAGAAATCATACTGAAACACTTATGCCCCAAATTTACCATGAGCTCAGTAGGGCTTTGCCTGTACAATGCATAGCAGTTTTATTAGCATTACAGTTTCTAACAGGTGCATATCTATGGAATATTAAAAAAAACTTTATCTAATCTTTATGATCCATAATATTTTTGTTCCTGCTGCACTGGCAGTGCATGATATTTTCTCGATCTACTTTTTATTTCATGTTTTTGGGCAATTGGAATGATTAGATAGGCATCACTGAAAGGACAGGTTTTTCCCAAGCACCAAACTGAATTGCAAGAGAAAATGTCCAACCTTGTTGAATCACTGTCTAATACTGTCTAATACTATATGCATGGTAACTAGGCTAATTTACAGCATAAAAAATTCCTGTCGTATTATTGGCTTTATAGGGCTAGTCTTTGTTTAAAACAAAACAAAACAAAAGAAAAAGTTAAAGTACCTTGTAAATTCTGAGTAGGATTCTCCTCTGCTAACCTTAGCTGCCTTAAAGATAACTTCAGTGTGTGGGCAGTGGAAATAAAAGCAGCTGTGAAAGAAAACCCCTGCTGTCTATCTCTATACATGCCTTACAAAGGTGAGTCTTTTCTCAGGATATGCCAGTCCTTCTGTACTGACTTGAGAAGGAGCTATGTGTCTGGACTGCTGATTTTTTAGTGGTGGAATATGTTGGTTCCCACCATTATTACCAATCTCTTTGTAATCCATTTGTCAAAACCTGGAGATCTTTTTTCCAAGACTGAAAACAATATCATACCTTTAGATTGTTTCTGAGGAGTATCATCTGTTTTAATAATCTGTTGGGTGTGACACTTGATACAATGTGTTATCAGTCTCATGACTTCTAAAGGAAATTTCAAATGTTGTTTATGATAGTGTTGCTTAGGGTTGCTTTTAGAAAAATTAGAGATTAAATACTTAGTATAACTCTTCAATTAATTATATCACATCCATTATTTGTTGTGAAGGAAAGGAAATGAGGCACAGACTATTCTAAAATTTGGGAAAGAAATATTACTTCAATTTGGTGGCGAAATAAATACTCATTATTTTGGTGTTTGAATGACAGTGCACTAATCCCATCACTTGAGCTGTTTCTTCACTTAGAATTGAATATCCAGATTAAAGACATGAGGACTGAAGGTGACTACAGCTCTCCTGAAAGTGTCTTCACTGCCAGTTGATATATTTTCAAGCCACAATTCCCATTTAAAAAAAAAGAAAGACAATTTTAACAATTTTTTTTGACCAAAAAAAATCACTTTGTGTTCTCTTTTGAAGTATGGGATGTGTTTGTGTGGTAGAATTTCCTCTCATACCAGAAAATGAGAATTGAAATTAATTTTTAACTAAAATATGTTCAGAAGAAATGAAGGGTTTTATTGTCTCCAACTAAATTCTTCACCCCTCTTTTTCTTCTTTTTTAGGCAGTCTTGTTGTTAAGTGATACAAAGTCATGTGATGCCAAGTAAAATGATTGTATATGCTCCTGAAACTATGTGTATGTAATATGTGAAAGATATCCAGTCTGCCCACCACTTTTGATCTTTCCTGTAAAAAGGCAGACAATTAAAAATGCTTTCTTCCAGAGCCTTTCTGTAGTTATGGTGATAATAAGCAAGAGTCCCATTTAATTTGCTGTGTCTTGTTACTTCTGTTTGCTGATAGCTCTCACAGTAAGTGTCCTGTTCTGCCTTTAATATATGTATATATTTGTCTCAAGAATTTTAGGAAGTGAGCAATATTATTATGCTATTTTCCAGTTAGAATAGCATGTCCAGATTCAGCCAGCAATCCACTGTAAAGCTGATGTTAAACCTCAGCATTTCTATGCAGGATCTTATCCTCTGTTAAAATCCCTTCTAGAAGTGACAAATTCTTTTCTTTCTCTTTGCTCACTGGGTACAATAGTACCTTGGCTGCTAGTGACCCAGCTCAGACCCTATTTATCCTTTTTGACATGCACAAGTGACCTTTGACATAATGGAAACTCAGCTTGGGACTAGCTCTGCTTCCAAAGGGAAAGCTGCTGGTACGACGCGTTCACACTGAAGACCAGGTTGGGAAGGCCCATGGATGTCAGAAAGAAGCTGATGGAGATGTGGCCAATCTGCCACTCCCAGCCTCATTTTTGAAGTGTTATACTAAAAGCTTTCAAGTTGTCTTTTGCCCACTTAAGTTCCTGGTCACTTAGAGAAGTGGATTTAGACAGAACATACCCAGGAAATACGTCTGCTCTGTGACATTTTTTGCCATGTTAGACATTTCCTCCCATTTGTGGTCATATGATTTCACTTTCTTGTGTCACAGCTTGTCTCTGACCATGGAGATATATTTTAAAAAGGCAGAGTAGGGGTAGGAGAACAAGAGTCCTGCCTGTCTTTGTACTATTGCAGATCACAAACATATAAAACTCAAGGCTGATACTGTAATTTATTTTGCAACTTTCATTGTAGGTTTTGTATCCTCTTCCTGTATAAAACCAGTAAAATAAAAGAGGGAACATTATCTTTATTCTTATTAGCCTTATGGTCTCAACTGGGAATTTCTACTGGATGTAAATACACTGTGGTTATATTGCCAATCCTATGGAAGATACTATGATAAAATTTTTTGCAAATAACTCTGCTTCCTTACTTTTAGGTGATGTTAATGGAATTAATCAGTAGAATGTTGATATATATTTGATGAGAATAAGTCAGTTGAAAAGAATGTGACTACTGGGTGCCAGGAGCATGTTTTATCCTAAGGAGCTTGATACACTTATTTATTTACTTGCATATTTGTTGGGAATTTTAACATATCTCTCAATGCCTTATGTATGCTTCCTAGATTGTAATGTGTTTCAAAGTAACATAACAAGTCTAAATAGAAAAATATTACTAATAAATACAATTCAAAGTTCTTAAGCTTTAGTAAAGTTCATGCTGCAGCATGGGTGGTTCAGTTTTGTTACAGCACAAATCTTAAATAATTTGGCAAGTACTTAACATATCAGCTGTTAAGAATGTTTTGGGGTTTTTTAATGCTCAAGACTTATAATGATCTGAGATTTTGTGGACAAGTTTCTGCCTCCTGGCACACATAATATTACTAAGTTCTAACAGGTGTGTTTTATTATCAGCTCTGTTCAAGGCTGAATTGAATTATAGCAAAGAAATGCTACCTAGAGAAATAGTTTTATTATCTCTATAAAGGTAATAAATCAGGGTTCCAAATCCTTTGGCAGAGATACTTTTATGCATGGTCCTAATCCTTTGGTGTTTTGTATAAATTGGCAAAGGAATGTTGAACCCTGCTTATCTCTTTAGGATGGATTCCATTAAAGTGACACAATTCTGTGATACTTGTCAATAGCTGTTGAGATGAAAATACCACTGACTCTCTTGTTTGCCATATCATTTTCTGAACAGAAGAAATTTTGCAATCATTTCATTTATTCACATAATTCAAAGTGGTATTCAGCAATCCTTATTAGTCTTATTAATCTGTCATTGTTGAGAGCAAGAAACTTTGTCTTATTTGAATATAGCCTTGATTAACAAAATTTTTACTTCAATTTACTGGAGTATAGAGCATAACTTGTGATGAGGACTCTCTTTTTGGTCAGATACTCTCATTCTGTTTCACTGCCTGGCTCAGGACTTTGCTCTGTGTTTTTGGAAGATTAAAAAGTGTGTGGATCAGTGTGAGAGTCACTCATCCCTACTGCAAGAATCCTGTTCCTTGAACAAAAACATGTTCAGTGTTGTAGGCAGCAACCTTCTCCAGCACAGAACATTGGAAATGGCCATACATGAGTGAGGCCTGAAGCTCCTGCCTGAGTTTACTGCTGGCCCATGGCAGCAGTCTTTGTGAATTTTTAGCACGTTACTGACAGAATTAATAATTTACTCCCAGCGAGCTAGATCTTTATTGAGCAGCCTTCAGTCTCCCTAAGCTGATCTAAACAAGCCTGGATTCTGTATTTAAATCAGATAGCCTAAGAATAAAATTTATGTTGCATTACAATTTAACTTTAAATATGTAGATTCTCATTTCAGCTGATGTAACACAAAACAGGGTTATTGCCCCCCTTTTTTTTCAAGAACTTATATAAATCTGGCCAGTGATTTTATGATATCTGGCTAAGGTTAAAGTTTTCTTTTATAGACTAAACTTGCATGTTTGAACTGCCTTTGAAAATAAAACTGCATTCCAGTCTCATCTCTCCCCATGAATATTTCAAAGGAATGTGTCAAAGTATTTTATATGTCTGTTTGTATACCTGTTCACATACATATGTGTGTGTCTGCATGGAAAAATATTCTTATATGCATACATGTAGACATTATATTAAAAAGTAGGCAATTTTAAAACATTTTCAAAAGCTATATAGAGCTGCATATGCATTTTTAACCATGTAAAACATTTATACTTTGATTTTTTACATTTAGCATGTAAAACTTTTACATTTTGATGTTTTAATGGTATCTTAGAGACAAAAGTTTCTATAACATTTTTTCTTCCTAAGCCTTCTCCTTATGCAGCAAAACCATAGGTTCTAAATCAGGTGTCAGATTCTTGTACTTATTAGACTAGAAACAGTGAAAATTTTGACAGATCAAAGCCTCACTTAAGCAAATTGCATTTGAAATGTCTGTTCAGTCCAAAAACCGCAGGATGAGATGTAATATCTGCAATTTTGTCTTGTCATTGCATTTCCAAGATGAGTATGTATGTGTCTTACATATCTGTATTTATAGTGGAGAGGCAGTGAAATAAATCCCTTCATTTTGGTGTGTTTGGGTTTGATTTTTTTTTGTTGTTTCTTTGTTTGGTTTGTTTGTTTACTTTTAGTTATTTATGTTTTTGTTTATATTTTGTGGGGTTTTGTTTGTTCATTTTTGGGGGTTTTGTTTGTTTTGGGGTTAGTTTTTTGTTTGTTTATGGTTTGTTTTGTTTTGCTGAATAGATTAAAAAAATTTCCAATGAGCCTACACATCCTCTACATTTTGGTTTTATTTCACAGCAAGTTGTTTATTGGTTTTAAAGGCTTTCTCCTCTCTAGTTAATTGAGGCTAGTGTTTGCTGCAGTCTTCATTTATACAGAACAATTATCTGTCATTTTATCTAAAATAGATCTGTTTGTGGCAGGATGAATTCTTACAACAGCTTCAACTTGCTCATCAACCTTGGATATTGCCGAGTGACACAGAAAGTGAAGGAGTGGAAGCTGACCAAGACAAATGTAAGTATATGTGTAAGGACCAGATAAAATGTCAAACCCCTCAACTGTACTTCTATTTTCCATATTTTCAAATACTGTGGAGATGTCATGCCTGCTCTCAGGAGCTTTTCTCACAAATACCAATAACTTATTTATCTGAAGGCTGAACCTTCTAGGACTGATCTGCAGAAGCTTTCCTGTAGTCACTGAACAATGACAAAAGGATGACAGAACACTGTTTACTTAAGCTAAGTGAAACAATTTGTCCTGATGTGTTAAAGTAGCTGTTCCAGAAAATAACATGAACTTGAAATAGATAATCTGTTTCATAAATCTGTATTTACCAGCAAAAAAGAAAAGCAAAGTAAAAAAACTCCAGGTCTGAAAAGTAGAGCCTCCTTCCTTAGATCTGACACTCAATTATCTGTATTTTGCTTACATTCTTTGTAATTCATCTGTATAAATAAAAGTTCTTAATCATACCAGTAATCCTTAATATCCTACACTCTTTCGAAGTATTTGTCTAATCATGGAAGTGAGGGTCAGCAGGATCAGAACCTAAATGGCAGAACAAGTAACAGGCTATAAATTGCAATATTCTCAAATTGTAGCAAATTCTCCCTGCCTACAAGGTACCTGTAAATGATCTTACTGTTTCACATTATCTCTCTTAATTCACAGTAGTTTTGTGATCTTCAAGAGTGAATATGCAAACTGCTTCCTAAGATATTTTAGGTGATGTACATGAAAAAGAGCAGATGATTTAATCAACATGTTTAGAAAACTCAATCCTGGTTTAAACATCAAGAGTTAACATAAGAAAAAGATGTTTTCTTTACAGAAGGGAACAGTTCTATAAGGGATTAAGGATTCATAAGAAACATGCCAGATAAACAGATTTTTTTTTTAATTAGGCCACTTTAAATAATTGTTTTTTACTCATACATCAGTTTCACAAATTCATACATAGCCCAGAGTTTGACTAAAATTTAAATTTACACAGTGAGATCCTAAAGAGGCATGTGCAGGTCTTTTTGAACACTAGTAAAATGTTACTATGAGATTCTGTGCATCCATCTGATTTTAGGCCAAGGCTGTAAGTCCAATTTGACTTGCACCAGAACCTTTCAGTTGCCTTTGAGCTGAAGCTCACCTTAGGTGGCTCAAGAGAAACTCTGGGACCTGCCTTTTATGTCTATGCAATTTTTCCTCAGTCTTTTCTGTAATGAATTTGCAGTCCCATAAACATTGGTAGGACTGGCTGTGCACACAGACTGGTGCTAATTATGTGACCAGGGAAACTGATGCTCCAGGACATATCAGATACACACCATGGTCTTGTGTAGCTGCTTTACTGGAATTGTGTGGGTGTGAGGACTTGTGAGCACCCAAAATCTTGTGCTATAATATTCCAAGAATATTATAGGTCATTGCAATTGCCCAAAAAACAAAGTGGCGAGTTAAATATTAAAAGCATGTTGTTAAGGTCAATGTCCAAAAGCCTCTTCAACAGTGACAGACTTGAGCAATTGACCATCTCCCTCAGAAGCCTGTTCAGTCTTCACCCTCTTAGTAAAGGAATGCTCCTGATGTCCGTCTGAATCTCTCCTGGCCCAGCTTTGAGCCATTACTTTGGCTCAAAGTGTTCTGTCACTGAATACCAGGGAAAAGAGACCAGGGCCTCTCTCTCCACATGCCTTCCTCAGGAAGCTGTGAAGTGAAGTCAATCCTCAGCTTCATTTTCTCCAAACTAGACAAGGCCAAAATCCTTAGCTGCTCCTCACAGGTCATTCCTTCACCAGCTTTGTTGCCCTTATCTGGACCCACTCAAGGGCCTTCACGTCCTTCTTAAATTGTGGTGCCCAGAACTGCACACAGTGCTCCAGCTGGGGCTGCCCCAGTGGGATAGTCACCTTTCCTGAGCAGCTGGTGGTTCTGTATTTGATGCACCCCAGGATGGGCTTTGTCCTGTTGGCTTCCAGGCCATGCTGCTGATTCTTGCTGTGCCTGCTGCCAGCCAGCACCTCCAGATCCATTTCTGTAGAGGCTCTCCAGCCACTCCTCTCCCAGTTTATACTTTTGCTTGATATTAGTCTGTCCCAGCTGCAGAATCTGGTGTTTTGACATGTTAAACTTCATGCCATTGATCACTGTCCAGTGTTCCAGTCTGTGTAGATCCCTCTGCAGAGGCTCTTGTTCCTCCAAAGAGTCAGCAGCACCTCTGAGTTTGGGATCATCAGCAAATGTGCTAATGGTGGGTTTAACTCCTGCCTGCAGGTTGTTGGTAAATGTATTGACCAGAACTGTCCCTAGAATTGATCCCTGGGGAACACCACTGTGACCAGTGGCCCCATTTGAGCTCTGCCCTTCAGCCAGTTCTTCCCAGCACAGCCTGCAGCCACTCCTCCCACAGCTGGACAAGTTGTCCTGAAGGGTGCTGTGGGGGACAGAATCAAAAGTATTCCTAAAGTACAGAAAAACCATGTCCACCAACATCCATCCATCCATCCATCCATCCATCCATCCATCCATCCATCCATCCATCCATCCATCCATCCATCCCTCCCCAACTGGTGGGTGACCTTATCATAGATGGCTATCAAGTTAGTTAAACAGGTTGACCTCAGTGTAGTTAGCTGGTGCACCCTCATATCACTGTTTCTGCTACTAAAACTAAAGGGATAAAACAGAAATGTTTTATTAAAGTAATACCTCCTGTAACTGAAATCTAATAGTGAAAATTTTTATTAAAAGTAACTAAGGCTGGTAACATCCCTGTCTGAGTTTTTGTGCTAGTGACATTGTCAAGAAAGTGCAGAACTGCCACTGCTGACAAAGAGAAGCTGCCAATTCCTGGTTGTAAAGTGGAGCCAGCAAGGAGCTTTGGCACACTTGCTGTTGCCACTGCTTGTAGGTAGACCAGCTGGCAAGATTACACATAATTTTTCCCCCCAAAGTAATAAATCTGTGCGGGTATTTTTTGTGTGATTTAGTGTTGAGAAGGCCCAGGAGTCCATAATTTGTGAGTTTGAGCAGAAGAGCTGCGAAATTAATCTTTACAATAGCAGCACCTGTTCTTTGACTTAGCCTTTGATAAACTACATGTGGATAATATTTACTACATTCTTTGACTCCTTTGAGATAATAGCAGCCAGGTGTAAAGCTAGTTTTTGGTAGTGGGAAAACAATGCAGAAAGAGAAACTGTGTGAGTCACCTTGAGTTCTTTAAAAGTAATATCGTCTGGTTAGAGTTTTAGAAGAAAAAGAATGAAAAAAATAAGAGGGGAACGGTTTCAAATGTATTCAGATGTAAGAGTTTAGAGAGACTATTTTCAAAGTAAGTGATAACTGAACAGAACTGGGTCACTGGAATCTCAGCATCTCTTGACAAGCATCATTTGCAAAACAGATACAACAGCGCATATCTCGTCTTATGGAAATAAGATCTTGGTTCTCAGTTCTTGTACCTCAGACTTTACATTTTAAATTCTCCAGGTTCTCTGACAGCATTTTAAAAATTTATCCTTAGCAGCAAGTTTCAATGATAACTAGAAGTCAATAATTGTTAAACCTTCATACTAATTATGACAACATTTTAAATCAAATAGCTACTCACATAAAAGAGTTTAAATTATTCTAGCTTAAAAGATTTGTTATGTTAAAGAAGGAAAGAAAAATATTTTTAAGAAGCTTTGTAGATTTTTTAGCATACTCCTTCCTTTTCCTCTTTGTGCACTTAATTAAGTTTGTGGCCATAGATCAGAGAAAGAGATCGTGTATAATTATTTGCTCTTGTAATGTACATTTTGTTATTAAAAATAAAAATTAAGATGTGCATTTTAAGAGCTATTATAATTTAGAAACAAAATCTTTTCTGCTTGCAAAATGTGTTTTCCTTTGAAACACTCTATGCAATGAGAGATGAAAATTGTCATGCAGCATGATCCAAAATCAAAGACCTGTGGTGTCCTTTTAGAGTGACTAAAAATGTCTCTAGAGAGAACCTCATATGTGTTCTTCCTCTGTGATTCTGGAGACAGTTCCCCATTATTATCTGCAGTAGTTTGCTTGTGTGCTGATTCTCTGTGAAGAGTTTTCAGAGAATGCATAGAGATCATTCTTGGAAAAAGGAGGGATCTGGAAAAAATATTTACCACTTGCATAATCCTTCAGTTTGATGAAAATTCTTTGAGCTGGCAAGAATAGATTTTCCTCTTCATGGGGTACTGATGCACAGAAACAGAAGAACCACCGCCAGAATATTTTTTAGACAGCTTTTATGAGAAGAAATTCATCCCTTTCAGGGGTCTGACAAGAGTCTGCTTGAATTTTCCCTTGAGAAAAAGACCTACAAAGATTGAAGATTGGAAATTTCTAAGTATCACTAGCTTCCAAGAACCTTGAAAAGACAAAAGACAGGGATTTTGGTATAATTTGACCTGCCATCTCTAGTCTTGGCAAGGATTAGCTGCCTAAAACACTAAGTCTGCTTTCTTGGGTGCCAAACTCAAGAAGTAACCCATACAGCAGATTTCTTCAGGTCACACAGCCTTGGAGACATAAAGGGTCCCAGCCTCCAGTCAGTCCATCTAGCAGATGTACATGATAGCTGAATGAAGTAGACTCTTGAAAAGCTTGCTACTTGTTAAATCCGTATTAAATATACCCACAGAACATTAAGGACTGGAAGGCACCCTGAAGGATCATCTGTGTAAAAACATTTCTTTGTGCTAATCTGCTTAAGGCATGCCAGTTTCTGTAGTTCATGGCACACGAAGTTGTGTGTCTATTATCACTTCATCCCAACTTGCCAAAAGGAGCACTAGATGCTCATTTCTAGCTCAGCTGATCTGGGGCAAGTCTTGAACTGTTGCCCTCTGACCTGTGGGAGCAAATTTAAATGTTTTGCTACTCTTCATCTGCAAACTCTTTGCTAAGGTTGACTGTGAAAGGTCTACTGCTGATAAATCAAGTGTTCATTGGGAATAAGTGGGATTTCTACTCCATTCATTCTTGCACTGGTCTGGAAACTCTGCAGTCAAAGACACTCTGCTGATGATTTCAACAGTTGTTGAAGAAAACCTTCATTTTCCCATTTGCACATATCTGCCTAGGGGAAAAACCCAAAAGAATGAAAGATCAGGTTTTTTGTAGACTTGAGAAATTCAGACTGTGTTCTAATAAAATTCCAATCCATACAGTATTTGTCCATGGGTAAAGTTCCTTGCACTGAGTAAATTCACATGCCAAAACAGTCAATTTATCCTAATTATGCAAGTAAGTTTTCCTAAGATTTGGGAGATTGCTTGGCCAGAGTTAACAATAAAGAGGAATCTACTGCTGGAATAGGTTTTTGCTGTGAAAGTTTGCTTTTGCTAGGGCCAGCTGCTATTCAGTATGAGTAAGAATGACAGAATCAGGGTTAGAGGAGCAACTGTTGATTGCAGGCATCTACACAAACACATTCCATTTCTGTCATTCAAATTCAGCTGTTTGTATTTGTGCTCTGCTCTGATAGAGCATTGGAAATGTCTCTTTCAGTGGGTTTGAGTTTAGGACAAGGCTAGATGTGGTTTCTCTAGGGAGTAAGGTGCTTATCAGGCATCACTCAAATGTGACTCAATTATATGTCTGATTAGTAAGAGCATAATTGTTGTAGTTGGCAGTTTTTCTCAATGAATAACAAATTCACTATAAATGCACACCTTTTTTTTTTTTCTTTTTTTTTTTTTTTTGTCTCACTAGTGAATCTGTCCCAAAAGTAAACTTTTGGGAGACTTTTATCCCAATTCATGAATCTTCTGCAGATGTTGATGTCCTTCTTTAATATTTAGAGAGTGGTAATACAAACTGCAGTAAAAAATTCATATCTCTCCCTTCCATGTAATCTCTGCAAAGGGTGTCATAAAGCTTTTTGTCTGCTTGGGATATGAGTTATTTACTAAATTTCTGCAGTATGCATTTATGGTTATTAAAGAATGTTGTCTCTCATGCCTGACATTGGCTTGGCTACCTATTTAGCTCGAGACAGTTCTATGTCCTCTTCAGAAATAGGACACCAGAAAGGGGATTGTGCTTCTTTAAACAGAATTTCTCCAGGCCTATTGGATGGTCTTGGCTGGATGTCTTGTTACACTTGTGGCTGAAGCTGCATCACTTCATATAACTGCTTTCTGAGTCTGAAAGTAGATGAGAACAATTTTCTAGCATGGTAACCTGCCCATTTCAATTTAATTATTTATTGACGGTGAAACAAATGTAGAGATTCACATTATTTCTACTAGAAGTCAGATGACTTTTGGACAGTGAGTGGTGAGTTTAAATGCAACTAGAGAAAGTTGAAGTTAGACTCAAGTTTCCTATTTTTTGAATGGATGTGCTTAAATCTAAACCTGCAGTAATCTTCTTATATTATTAAGGCTTTAAGGCACATTGCTTTATTTATACTGACTAATATTTGGTTTCACTTTGGAAAAGGTCACATTGGACTAAATATTTAGTATGAGAAGGGAATTTTCCATTTCAGGGAGTAAGAAAAAAAATTAAAACCTGTTTTAGTGCAGAAAGCTCTTTTCAGTAAAGCTTCCAAACCTACAGATATCTTTTTCTACAGCTTGCCTTATTATGCTAAACTTGGATTCCCAATGACATTTAATGTAATAAAAAATGACACTGTAATTTAAAAAATGGCTTAGAGAATTATCAGGACACACATTAGGTAAATTAAAAGCTGGCTCAATGAGGAATCAAAAACTTGAGTTTCTAATGGGAAGATGTAGATGAATGGGGCTCATTAGGGTCTGATAGGTTTGGATAATGGGTGGGAAGGACAAGTTGAAGTTATTAAATGATATGAATCCCCTGGTATAATGGCCAGATTCCAGTAAAATGCACTTTATTATAACCAGATGAAGTATATTTAAACCAAATGAAATATATCTGGCACCAGAGAAACATATCTGTCTCTGCTGCAGAATAATGAGGCTTTGTCCTGGAAAGCAGTGACCTAATGGATTTAGGATGGTCATAAAAGATCATCTCAGTGTGAGCTCTCAGCATAATGCTGTCACGAAGAACGGTAGACCATTTCTTGAATGCCTTAGAAGTTAAGTAGCAAAGTAATTATTCCACATAATATCAGTAAAAAACCCCATGGGTTAGGTGTCTTTCCATTAAGACAGATTGGGATTGCTCAGTGGACTTCAAAAGGTGATTAAAAATGACCAGCATTTGGGAAACCCTGTTAGGAATTTGCCTCACTCACATAAAGATATTCAACCAGAAACTTCAGAGATAACATGATATCTGTAGATAGATGTTTAAATAAAAAAGATTCATCGAACTATGACAAAGGAAATTAAATGTTCTGTCCTAGCAAGCAGGAGCTTCAAGTGTTATAAGCAAAAAATAAAGGACGCAATGAACTCAAAGCCATTAACATGTGGTTAACTTCTTAAATTAACTCCTCCAGATAAGACCAGTCCCTGGGTCTTCTGTGGGTAACAAGAAGAATCTGCAAATGAAACAGGCTTACACATATTTGCTTTTCTTTATCCCACCGTAAGACAAGTCCATTATTTATAGATCAAACTGTGATACAGCTTGAATATCTGTTAAAAGAAGCACCTCCAAGGAAAACAGCTGAACATTAGGTATAAATGACAAAAAGCCCCCAACCATATAAAAGTAATCAAGGATAAGAACTGTTGCTAAGGTTTCCTAGGCTTTTTGTCTTGTGTTTTGTTTGTTTGGTTAATTTGTTTTTGTTGTTGAAGAGGTTTTCATGGTATGTGCCTTGCTTTGTTGGTTATCAACACAGAATCACATACAAAGTCCAGGCTTATCATCTGACAAAATGAAAATTATTCCAATTGTATTAAATTAATTAGCTGGAGATAATGGAAAGAATTTGTTCCTACCAAGTTTCTTAAATCTTCCACAAAGGGCTTGCATATTTAAATGTTCAAAAGGAGTGAAACTGCTGTGCCTGATTTCCTGCAGTGTTTAAAAAAGGAAAGGTGGAGGCTTCTCAGGTAACACACAGATCTTTGTGCAGTCACCGGTACAATTAAATGAGGTTGTGGTGTTTATTTCCGGTTCATAACCTCGATTCTCTCACTGGCTCTATGTAATGGGTCCAGTTACAGCATTGTATTTTATACAAACAACGGAGAGAGCAGGTTGTGTTCCAGTCAGCAACATTTGCAAAACAGTCCATTGCAATCTGCATCTGTAAATATTTTTAAAAGCTAAATTTCCATTTGCTTTGGGGAAGGTTTTCAACCTGAACACAAGCAGAAATTAAAACATTGCTATCTCAGCTTATCTGATTCATCACAGGTGTATATTATGTTCAATGTTTTCTGAAACACAGGCTACTTTTTGCAATTTATTACCACTATTGAAAAAGAAGTAGCAGAAGAAAAACCTCGAAACCACTGAATAATTGGAACAAATAGTATAACTAAGGACAGTGTTGTTTGCTTCTGAATGTTTTAGAAACAGCAAAAAATAATTGAGATTCACTAACATACTGATCCACATTGCTTATTTAACTGTGAATTCAGCATAATAGAAAACTCTTACAAAATGAAAACATGGTGAAGGATTAGTTTTCCCTTTTCTCCTATTTTTCTGTACATTACATTTGAGCCCTAATATCTGTGTTTTTCTGTTTGATTTCACAGGTTTGTGAAATCAGTGGAATTATTGAAGAACAATTTAATAAAAACCAAAAATATGGTGATCAAAACTACACCTTAAAAATTGGTTTAGTTTATACATAAAAAAATTAAATAAAGTTATTTTTCTAGTATCAGCAGCATATGAGTGAAACTGCTCTGATATGAGGATGCTGTAGTGCACTGAATGAGACTATTTACTGTGGTACAGTGGCCTTAGGAAAGAAGGGTAATTGTCACCTTTTAGTGTAAATTTACTACAATCGTTTTTTTAGTTTATACCCCTATTGTTTTGGATTGACATTTGATAAGCTAAATTCTGCCCGACCAAAACAAACTTTGCCTAAAGACTGTACGTATTTTAACTTGTCTAAGGTTTTCTACTCCTTATATTTTTGTAAACTTTGCTCCTTTTTAGATTAATAAACATTAAAGTATTTGCTGCATCTGCCCATGTGTATGTCCCATTCAGGTCTCACAGAGAGCTGGCTGTTCACTCATAGTCACCTGCAGAGAGAGGTCAGACAGGGGAATGAGTGAAAGAGTGTGTGTGGGTAGCAGAAACAGGTGCTGCTCGTGTTGCATAGCCTTGTATTGAATTTATCTTCTTTGATCTTTAAAACAAATAAAGACTCTGTTAAAAAGGGGGACATAATAAGGAGTGGTGCATGCATGCAAAAATAAAGCACCTAAAAGGAATTTCATATATTATGATAAAGTGTTAGTTACCCATGTGAATTACGGAGACAAACTTGCTGTTTAAAATATTCTGTCTGGTGTATGCTGTGTGCTTGGAACTTTAGAGGATGTGTTAGCACAGACATCAAATGAAGGGATGTGGCAGTTGGATTTACTGATTTCATTTACCTGTTAATTCTGTCAAGTGTGTTCTCAGTTTCCTCTGTCTTCAATTATGTATGCTCGGGTCCTGTATCTTTGACAGAATAATAAAATGAAATTGCTTGCAACTATTAAAAATACAGTATTACAAAGCATCTATTTGTTTAAGAAATAAAAATGAGTTGTCTGTCATAAGTGTTTCATGGTGTGAACTTTTTTCTGCTGTCTCACAAATGCAGAGTGCTAAATACACAGAAACACTGTTGTCTGTGTTAGTCATGAGTGAGTTAAATGGAAGCTAACATTGTGGTGAGCAAGTATTTGCTATATGTGTCATCATAATGTACAGTTCCTATATGTAAAATGTTTGGCATACTGGGATAGTGCCTTTAAGTTCATTTCAAGAAGGTACTTTGTTAATTTGTCATCAGTAAAGGAAATCTGTAATGCTGTGTGCATTTGCAATATACTTGAGGGCCTGTTTCCATATGGGGAGTGTGTTGTCATTGATTAGTCAGTTGTGCTCAGAAAAGCATTCCTGTGAAACAAATGTCTCCTTTTCATGACTTTTATTCTTCCTTAGTGGCCCTCATTTCACATTTTACCTTGACATTACTGAAAAATATAAAATAGGATTGCCTTCTTTCAGTTGCTTCACTCAACATCTGCTAAGCTGCATGCTTTCTGCTTCATGTCATTACTGGTGAAATTATGACTACATTTAATCCTTGGGAAAAATCTCATTGACTTCAGGAGAACCAAGACTGCTCACAGGTTGAGAAAGAAATTGGAATTTGGCAGCATCTTAATTCTAGAAGTTCTGGCATGTATGAGAACTTGAAGACAGTTTTGGCCCAGTAGGGTGGAGATACTTGGTCAGGGATGTGTCTGGTTTGAAATTTTGGTTACGGGTGAAGAAATACAAGACAGGCTTTATTCAGAAAGGCAGAATATCAATCATGTCCCTGGTATTCAGAGGGGAAAAAGGCTTTTCAGTTACAGATATAGTGAGTGCACCAAGAGTTGTTAGAGTGATTAAGAATTTAGCACATGCTAATTGTACACAAGTATCTCAAGGTGTTATAGGACGGCTTGGGTGGTCTCAGTTGTAAAAGCTGTGAAGCCCCGAGCTCCTGAGATATATGGCTGTTTTTGGGACTGGCCAGAACAATGGTATTTTTCTGGGACACTTTCTAAGCTGAAGGACAGAGGATAAAACCACGGAAAATATGATGATTTTTCACACTAAAACATACAGAAAATCATATGTGTTTTTTGTTGTTGTTGTTTTAGTTCTCACAATTTTGACATGATTTCATGAATTTTTAACACTCCTGGTTAGCGCTACTCCCTGTAAAGCATATGGCAAACAATTTTGGCTGATATTAGTGCTCAGCCCAGCAACCAGAGCTGGCACTGCAAAGGAGAAGCAGCCACCTGGTGCCCTGACTGCAAACAAGCTGGCAGTGAGGCATAGCAAGTCAGGAGAGTTCCAAGGAGGAGCTGAGATGCACTTAATAGGCAACAAGCAGCTGGGCTTAGGGGGCCAGGGAGCACAAGCGGCAGCTGGGCAGCCCATGCAGAAGGCATGTGTGATAAACTTGTTTTCACCTCCAAGCTGCTGGAAGCCTTACTCATTTTCTGTTCGACCTTTTTGGCTTTGGGAAGCAGTTTCTCAATTGCTTATGGAATAAACTGCCTACATGGTGTCTAATTGAATTCAGAGTCAGATGTGGATGCTCTCGATGCTGCTCTAGTTAGTTTGGCAAGAATTTCAAGGTGGAGAGGTTTTTTTTGTTTGTTTTTGACTCTGCACCAGGCACTTCAAAGTCATCCAAATAAAGCTATTCTAAAGCTGCACAGAAATGTGCTGCTGTCTAGTTGCATGGAACAGAACAGATTTAGCACTTTTTTTTAGAAAGATGCTTTATGGGTCATTGCTGGTGCTATTCATTACTGCATTTTGATGGAAAAAAGAGTCATGAGAAACAGATACATTTTTCCTAGCCATATGTTTGCAACTTAATTTTTTTAATCCTTTATGAATGTGGTGATGTAGGGATCCATGATTCTAAATAGCACTTGTTAACGAAAAAAGCTAAATATGTCTCAGTATATAAAAATGTATGTAGCTTTTCTAAAAAAGCAGCTGTTTTTCTTTCAAAGCCCAATTTACCATAAAATAGGCTTTATTGCCCTATGAGTTACTGCTGCTTCCTTTTAAGGCTTTCATACCCTTAATGCTTTATCTGGCTAATCTTAAAAACAACATTAATGTATCCGTATTCATTTCAATAAACATTATTAATGGATTTCCTTCTGTACTGCTCATATCAAGTAATTTCATCATTAGTCAGATTTTAAAGATGGCCTTCTTGCTACTCCTAGAGTGTCTAGCTCTAGGATTTGTAGGTATGACTGGGGGAAAAACAGGGAAGAACTTTTACTTGCATGAAGCTATTATAATTAAACAATTTCTCTTGAAACATCCAGTAGAAGGTTTCTATGAGCAAATCCTTATGTTCAAAACTTCAGCAATAGTTTAAAAACACTTATACAACAATCAGTTGTACTCTGCATTAACAAAATCATCTGGCCCCGTGGGAATATGTTTCCTAAAAATGAGACCTTATTCACTGTTCAAGTGTCTTTCTTCTGAGTCAATACTTACAAAAGAGGGAGAAAAATAGTTTCCTGCTTCCTGGGATATTGCTTCAGGTATATCCACATTTTACTTAGAGAGGTCGCTAGATAAGTGCAGGGGAAGTCCTATAATCCAACAACTAAATTCAGACAAATGTATGAATTTGATGAAAGCCAACTCACATGCATGAATGTGATGCTATCATTTCATTGCTCTGGCTGTACATGGACATGCTTCACATTTAATCCAATAAACTATTCATGTAAAATACAGAAAAGCTCCCCTGGGTTAGATTTCAGCAGCCTGGACTGCTCTGCAGTAAGCATGCTGACCATAAAGTTACTGTTCTTTTACTGACTTTGTAGTACTAGCTCCAGGCAGCTACATGAGAAAAAAAGATGTGCAAAAAATATGTGTTCAGAGAATTTTATGGCCATTCAGTTTTTGCCTTGGTCTCTACTTTTTTTATGGATCAGAGAGCAGATAATTAGGCAATGCAATTAGTTTTGTAGATATTTTTGTGCTTGTCAGTTTTAGCTGAAATTGCAAAAGTTTGAGATTAATCCAAAAAAGTTTAAACAGACCACTGGTTTGACAGCATTAGTTTACTTGCTATATTGCTGATTTTAATTGATTCAATTATCAAGTTGCTCGTTAAAAGAAGATATATATTTTTTAGTTAAATTTCTGATGCAACAGTTCATTAGAACTTTGGTTGCTGTTTTCTTTCTTGGCATGTTATATAAAACTAAAGCATAATCAAATATTCTAAACTAAGGCATAATCAATCTATCAAATTTAGTTGGATGACACACTTTTTTTTTTTGATAGTCCAGTCAGCTACTATTTTCTATGGCTTGTCTGCCCTAGCTATGCAGCAAATCTAAAATGTACTGTCTGTAGAAGTTTCCTCTACATCAGCTTTTAACCTATCAAGGTGCATCTTCTAATGAAAACACTGCTCTGGACCATAAGTTTAGTTCAATAGGCAAGGCAGTCTAGTGATGTTTTCACTTACACAAACATAGTGCAAAGGTAGAAATTTCACTTTATAAAAAACTGAATTTTAATCTACGAAGCTTTGTAGATCTTTGTTGTTGGAAGATGGCAGTGCTTTAGTAACTAATATTACACCAGCTGCTATTCCAGAAGTTCTGCTGTAGAATTTGCTGCCCTCTCCAGCTCATGCATCTTTATTGTATGAAGAATATCTGTGTTTGAATCTCACAGTATTGAAGAAGTTTGGTCATTGTTTTTCTTTAATTATTATTAGCCAGTCCTGGAGAATGCTTCTAAGTTCTAAAATGATTAAGTAAAATCACTGAACCAATGTCTTCTCTAGATCCCTGGACCTTCTTTTGAGAGCTTGATGATAAAATATTGTTCTAAATTGAGAGACAGAAGAGATCTTTTTGCCCACTAAAACCAGCTATGACACAGCTCTGAAGAGACCCACAGGAGAGTAACTCTTGTGAGTTACTTGAATTCTGAGCTGCTGATGCTCACCAGGGACCTCCTCTCTCAGAAGTGTATATGTTTGCCTAGAGAGGGAGTGTGATAGGAAATGGGGCTGGGAAGGGCCCCAGATATCAGGTACTTGCTCTCTCTGATGCAGCATCTCTGGAGATGGAGAACCCCTCTCTTTATCTTTAGAAAACCATGCACCCAAGAGCTTGTATTTTGCATGACAGCTCTTTCTCAGAACAAAATCTTGTCTCCTTGAATACATTATGTCTTAATTGTCTCCATCTTGCTTCAGCTCAGATAGCAATGAATTGAGATGCCACCCAAAGCAAGAAAATGAATTAGTGGTCCTGTAAACCCTTTTGAATTTTTGCAGTGTTGCAAATGTGGCCAGGATTTCATTCCAAGTTACAAAGAGTGCTGAAGTAGCATTTTTACAGCCCCACAGATTTGTCAGGAGCACACAGGGTAGACATGCTGCTGCTCTGAGAAACCCTGCTTTTGCACTGAAAAGTGACATGAGATGAAACAGCAAAGAGTCCTTTGAGCATCCTTGCTTCAGCCATTGTTGCTGTCTCCAAAAGTGTAGGAGGATTTCACGAGTGCATTTCAAAAACTTGCCAAAACACTCCCTGGGGCCTGATAAGTACAATAATTCAAAATCTCTCCTAAGTGCCCCCAGAAATCATTCTCTTCCTCTTGATGTGTGTAATCCAACACCTACACACTCACAACCCCAGGTTTAATAAAGTCTGGGGCCCTTTAGCTGAGATTCCACAGCAACTTATTCTTCCTATCCCCCCAGGTGAAGTTATATTTCTGTGTCCAGAATACATTATCTGTTATTGACTTTTCATCTGGACACAGATCTTGCAGAATTTAAAATATTTTGCTATGAGGATGTGTTGAAAACATCTGATGGGCTTGCCTGGGGTATTGTGATGCATAAGCCTTCTGGGAGAGACTGCATCAACCTCATCTGTAATTCTGTGTCTGCTCTATGCAAAGACATGAAGCTATTTAAAAAACAGAGCTGAAGTTCCTGATGTAAGAACAGCCAAAACTCCAGAGACAGATGTACACTCACTATCTCTCTTTCAAGCAATTAATCCAAAGTGTGAATTAATGTTATCTTCTATCTTCTATCACTTTTTCTGCACACAAAATGTTTGTAAGGAGTAATACTGTGTTCAAATGGTGGAACATTGATTTTTCAGCATTTAGGTATGTCAGAAGAAGGCTGACTTACTTAGGAAAAGTAAATGTTGTACCCTGTAGATTTTAAAAGGGTAAGAGAATGAATCCAAGAGTGTAGGAATGTTTATTCCAGTATTGTGATTAAGTATCTATATTCAGAATGAT